TCTATGCCAGTCAACCTCATAATGGAAGAAAGGCAGAGAATACTCCATTGGAGGCCTACTTCTCATCAGCCTGATGTATGATTTCCTATGGGCCTGCACATATGAGCTTCCATCTTTTGTCTCTGTGTGGGGGGGCAGATGCTAACACTTCTCTTAGTGCCAGGAGGCTGTCAGGGAGCCAGCAAGCTTTGCCCTCCGTCTCACACATGTGCTGTAGAATGAGATTCTTTCAAGCAGAGAATATTTATAAGGCATTAAGACAAAGTAGTCCTCACTGGGTTGGATGACAATTCTTTGGTGAGGCAGAACTGGGTAATGGCCTCCTACTGGATTTGGGTCTGCCATTCTAGAAGCTGGACCTTGGACAGGCACTTTAAATTCCCTGGGCCTCCTCTTTCCCACTTATCAAAGGGTAATAATAATAAAAACCTCACAGAACTGTTACACGTGGCAAACAGTAGGAGCCCAACTTTCCCCTACCTGCATTGGAGAAAGGCTTTCAAGTTCAAGGGCCTGTCCTGCTCATGTAGACCCCTGCCCAGGAGACAGATGGGTCCCCTTCCCTAAAATAGTGGTGAAGGAACTTGGTGTCATTTCTCCTGTAGGGTGGGTGGGACTCCTCTGTTTCTAAAGCACAGCTTCTCCATAGCCCCAGATCCTGCAGTGCTTTGGTTCTAAAGAGATCTGGCTCAGGAAACAGAGAAACAATGTAAAACACGGGGGCCTCCCTGAGCTGTAGCTGTGCTGTGCACCAACCCTCATGGAAGGAGGGGAAAAGGGTGGCCCAGCTGGTTCTGCAGCACCTGAGGAGCAGAAAGGCCCTGCCTGGGTTAGGCCTGGGGGCCTTGTTTCAGTACTGGTCAATCAAAGGGAACTGCTGCGAACTCTGATGAGTGCTAAGTAAATAGGGCCAAACTTGGGCACATGGCCATAGGGGCCTCACTGGCGTATGCCATCCATCCCTAGATTTTATAAAAGAGACTTGTGTGACTAATTTTAATCAGTTTATTACTAGGGAGCAAAAAGGTTCAATGGCTCCCAGGAGTCTAATTCTTGACTGCCAGCCGCCTTCCATGTCACCTGGATGCCAAGGACATCTCCCTGTTCCCAGGGTGGTTTGTCTTCACAGTGCACCAAGGGAGGCAGCACCTGGTTGATCTGGAGAGTGAAAAGTCAGATTCTGACAGACATGGATGGCACTGTCTGTCCCAGTTCTCTGGATCAGTGGATAATGTGGCTGGACCCTAGGATGGCAAGGGGATGTTATTAGGAACTTAGAGAAGGTACCGCCTTACATACCTCAGCTCCAGGATGTTGGTGACATTTCCAGAGGGGAAGATCCTACGGATGTAGTTGAAGTCACCCACATAGAGGCTTCCATCAGAGCCACAGGTGAGGGCCACGGGGGCCAGGAGCTTGTTGCCATCTGCAAGGCCATTGCAGCTGGGGCAAGAGATGCTTCTCCGGCGCCCATTGCCCATGATGCTGCCAATGACTGGTGGCTGCTGAGACACAAACTGGTTTTCCCCATTCCCTTTGTGCAGGATTCCTGGGACAAGAAGAAAAGAACAGAATCATCTGGGAGCAGGAGGTAGGTCCTTCTTCCTATGGTCAGCCACAATCACCTGATTTTGCAAGGTCCCTAGTCTCTGTCAACCACTTCCTAACTCATCTCTCAAGGCTGTGCCTCACCCACAGTGAAACCCAGAAGGACTGAGCAGGCCACACTGTTTCGCTGATTTAATTGTCATCATAACCCATATGAAGGCACTGATAAGATCGCTATTGTAATAGAGGGAATAGAGCAGGCAGCTCACTCAAGGCCACACAGATGAGAAGTGGAGGAGCCCTAGAGTTCAGCTCCTGATTGTTCAGCTACCCTGACTCGTAAATGGGCTGCACATGGCTCCTGCGCCCTGATCACACCTCTGTGACAGTGTGGATTCTAATTGCTAGGTGTCTTTCTCCCTTTCTATCAGTACCATTTCAAGTGTGGACAGTATGTCTTTTTTCCCCTTCTGTAGCCCCAGGGCCAAGCACAAAATCTGACATGGAGTAGACACTGATACTTATTTATAGAGATGAATGAGGTAGTCACAGTCTCCTCTCACCAACATGAAGTCAGGAGACTGGAGTTTGTGCCTGGTTCTGCTCCTAACGGGCTGGTCCCAGATCTTGCACAGTCTCCACACTTTAACTGCCCTGCAGCTCAATGGGGAGATTGACCTCAGTGACTGGGAAGCTTCCACCCAACTTATGTTGTTTTCATTCCAGATCATTCTTCCCCCACCTGCTTATTGTCACAGCTTCCAAACTGGCTGCCTCTTGCCTTCCAGCCTGCAGCCTGAGAGGGTTTTGGCTTTTATGGGTCACACGAATCTTCTCTCAAGCTGCCACTTGTTAGCTTTGCCAAAGCTATCAAATGGATTGCTTCAATTTTTGATGTCGTCTAATGAATTACTTTTCCACTTTAAAGTTGGTGCTTTTTTTAGGTTTTAGGAAATCCTTTCCTGAAAGGTGAACTGGAAAGGTGAGGATCGAACCCAGTGCCTCACATATGCTAGGCGAGTGCTCTACCTCTGAGCCACAACCCCAGTCCTATTTTGGCTTTTCTTTGTTTTTTATTTTTATGTGGTGCTGAGGATTGAACCCAGTGCCTCACATATGCTAGGTGAGACCTCTACCACTGAGCCCTATTTTGGCTTTTCTGACACATGTGGCCAAGGCTAATTTTAATCACCACTCACAGATCAGCTAATGAATTCCTGCCTCAGCTCTGTGGGCTCCATTTACCTGTTTCTGTGCCAACACCACACAGTTTTAGATGTTACAGTTTTCTAGTTTAACTTAATATCTGGTAAACTCATTTTCTGTGTTCTTATTTTAAAGATTGCCTTAGCTATTTATAAACCTTCATTTCATTATAAACTTTATAATTAGTTTGTCAACTTCCCCTTAAAACATGCTGTGGTTTTGACAGGCATGCACTGTACTTTTTGCAGAAGGTACGTGACATGGTTACCATGTTTAGTTGTCCTACCCTGAAAGAGTCGGATTGAGTTATTATTGGAAGTGCAGATGTGATCATGGCACTTGCCTGCTTGAAACCTCTCAGAGGCTTGACATTTGCCTCTGGATGAAGTCCAAAGTCCTAATCTACCCTGGGCTCCAGCTGCTCAGCCCCCAGCTTTGGCTTTGACTACTCTTTCCTTCATCTCATTCTCTGCTCAAATCACAGTGGACCTTCTTATCTCCAATTACCCTTCTTGGAGGCTTCAGCTCTTCCACAGGTACTATGCCCTCTGCTGGAATTTTTTGAGACCCAGAGTTATCTTGCAGACCTCTGAGACTCAGGCCAGGGATCTTCTCCCCAGGGATGCCCTGAATCACCGAGTGCTGTGTTCTTCCTCTGCTTCCATGGTGTTCTGCACCTCCCACTGTGATGGTGTGGCCAGTGCACAGCAATGCAATTACCTGGTGAGTATTTGTCTCTGACCATGTAAAGTCTTGAAGCCTCTTATTTCTGTATCCCTGGTGCCTAGCACAGTGACAGGATGACAGCAGGTACCCAAGCAATATTTGTTGACTGAGCTTTCTGTTGAACTGATTACACAGGAACCCATGTAATTCAAAGTGTGTATTTTTTGTTTGGAGGGCCCAGGGGATAGGAGGCAAGGTGACAACCTGGCCTGGCTCAAAGAATTCTATTATTCCACTCACCACTTTGGATGTTGAGGGCATGATGTTTATCCAGGCTCCATCCTCCAAGCTTGGATGCATCGATTTCATAGCCCTGCAGCACTGCTGTTCTTTTTTCCCATAGGATTAGATCTGGGCAGGATTCGTACTCATAACCCACAGAAACTGTAGGGACCAAAAAAAGCAAAATGCATGGGTAAGCAAAGTCCCCTTTTTGATCTTTAGACCTATAGGCAAGGCCATCTGCTTGTCTTTTGCAGAAGAAGAAGGAGGAGGAGGAAGAGGAAGAGGAGGAGGGGGAGGAGGAGGAGGAGGAGGAGGAGGCGTCGGCGGCAACGATGACAAAAAGGATCATGTTTCTAACCTGGGAAACAGAACTATGTGAAATACTGACACAATACTGACATAGTGATGCTAAGTCTTAAAAACCTTTTTTCCTTTTTTGATGAACAGTTGTACACGACTGGGAAAAGTTAAACAAATGTACTGAATACTGTCAAAGGACCATGGTGAATCAGTTCCAGGGAAGTTATCTTCAATATGGAAAATACTTTATGCACAAATATCTTCACTACAGCATTATTTATAATGTTGGAAATTTGAATTAATCTAAAGGTCTGAAAGAGGAGATGGACTGAGCAAACCTAAGCATGTCCAATCCAGGAATATTACACAGCCCATGGAAACTATGCCTGTGAAGACATGTGGTGATGTGGGGACACTCGTGGAGTAATGCTCGCTTAAAAAGACTGGTCATCTTCAGTAATCTAAGTGTGCTAACAAAATAAAGCTATACATGATAAAGAAAGCAAATTCAAATATTAACAAGTGGTTATATTTGTTTATGGGATCACCCTGACTTTTTCTACCTTTGTCTATTTCCCAAATTTTTACAGGGAAGAAATCTGGACTTGTTTGTAATGAATACATGGAAAATAAGCTCAGTTGGGGAACTTTGGAAGCCAAAAGTTGCTTCAAGCTTTCCAAACTTGCAAATGCTTTGGCTTAACTTTTGTTTCATAAATCCAGGCCCCTCAGTAGGTACTTGGGATGAAGGCTAAGTACAGCAGGCTCCTTGAGTCTGGGTGTGTAAAGGCCCTGTCACTGACCTTGGGAAGGAAACTAGCAGAGAATGCCATTTCTTCCAAGTGTCTTTCTGAGTAGGCACTATTTTCCAGCGGGCAATTTTCTACCTTATGTTTACGACAGGAATTAACAACTGGGCAGCCCCTTACAGTTTCTTATATGTACCATAAAGATAGCTGACCAACTATGGTAATGGGGAATAGGCTGGCGATGTCCCTGTCACCTCTTCCCTATGACCCTGAGTCACAGTACCTCCTACTGGTCACCTGTGACCTCAGAAAAGTGAGCCCAGGCCTGAAATTTCACTGTGTAGACCCTTCTTTTTAAATTGACTGGTGAGCACTAAATATGATCATTTCAACTGAAAGGTGTTTTTTTTTTTTTTTTCTGAAAAGACAATAGATGTGGCTTGATCTAAAAAAGGGATTGCGAAGAGTGAAAGATGCCATGTTTGCTCCCAGTGTTCCTTTGTGGGACAGGTAGGGATGCAAACTGTAGTGAAGACCTGGAATAAATCTAGCTCTGCTCATTACCAGCTGTGGCTCCTTGGGAAGTCACCTTACTTCTCTGGTTTCAGCCTCCTCATACAGGATTCCTGACTTGGGGAGGCAGTTGAAAGGATTCACTGAGATGCTAATGCACAGGGGAACATCTTGCCGGGAGCCAGTTTTCAGGACAGTCTCTTATGTACTTCATGCTCCTGCTTTCCCTTTGGTCCTCCGTCCTCCCTCCTTCCTACCCTCCCTTTCTTCCTTTCTAAACACAACATGGCTTCTCTGTTTCCTTATCCTGCCTTGGCTAGGCAAAGGAAATGAGACTACAGTATGGTTCAAGGTGAGAAGTTACTCCCTAAGTGCTTGGAGGATCAGCCCTGAGTGTTAGGACTGCTAATGACCCGCTCTGAGCCCTTTCTGGGTCCCTACACCGACCCAGAAGCTGGAAGAAGTATAGCCTGCCCCTGGAAGCCCAAGCTCTCAGTGGGGCTGCTAGGTAAGGCCAGAACCAGCTTCTGTTTTATATTGACAAACAGACAGCAATAATAATGACAGAAAAACAACTTCTCTGATTGGGAATAAAGTCATGAGGCCCAAAATGCATTTTTGATGAAGGGACTATCTTAGTTCCTGTGCCTCAAAAAAGTGGAAGCAGCCCAGTTTCTTGGCTCCCCTTCTTTAAGGGTTAGGTTGAGGCAGGATGGCTGTGGGGTAGCCAGGCAAAGCCCACAGGCTGGGCCTTTATGGCACATGGCATCTTTTAGCTCATCACAGTGCTTTTTTAGGGCTGTTTGGGTTTTGTAGCCATTTTTAATGTGGGATTTCCCACATTTAGGTCTTTCAATACATTCTTCAATGTCATGGATGGTCACTGAGAGGCCTTAAAGGGCAATTAAGACTTTTTTTTGATCTGAGAAGAAGAAGGGAGGAAAAAATAGTCAAGAAGGTGACAAGAGTCGCTCTGGGGGGAGGCGGGGGTGTTCTGCAGCAGGCGGCTTACCGAAGGCTTCTGAGAGCCCAAGCACCTTCTGGTTGTAGACATCTGTCTTGTCCCACATGAAATAGTAGGACAGGTCAGGAGCTGCAGCAAACCACTTCCTGAAGAGGCGGCCCTCCACCGCCACCATGAGGTGGACCTTCATGAGGTTAAAGGGGATGGTGGGGTGGGTGAGGCTGATCCTCAGGACAGATTTATAGCCCGGGGTGCGGCTGCTCAGGTAGCTCAGCCTCATCTTGCAACCAGAGATGGCGATTTCCTCTTGCAGAGCCTAGAAAGCAAGATAGACCACAGTTAGGGACGGTCACTGGATCATTCAAGGGAAGGAGGACGGCCATGGCCCATGGATTCTGGTGTTCAAGAGGCAGAGGATGAAACAGAGGGGGAGAAGATGGGCAAGGGGAGGAGGAGGAAGAAAAGAGAAGAGGGGAGAATGGAAGGTGAGGAGCGCAGGAGGAGAAAGGGGGAAAAAGGAAGAGAAAAGAGAAAAGGAATTGAGGGAGGAGAAAGGAAACCTGAAGGCTGGTCTCTAGGGCCAGCTCTTATGTGGCATATCCCTGCATGAGCCACCACACCTCGATGAGCTTTGGGTCCTCCTCTGTAACATGGATGGCAACACGGCATCCCATAATTGAGAGAAACACACAAGATAATGCTTAGGAGACCCCTGGCAGCAGACTGCCTCTCACAAGCTGTGTCATCCTAAAAGACTCATGGATGCTCTGCAGCCCAGTTTCCTCCCTAGATTAGCACAGGGCTGAGCAAGGTCATGGATACGAAGTGGCCAGCACCTCAGTGTTAGGTGGGAAATGGTGCAGCTGGTGTCAGCAGAGCTGAAAGTGGGGGATCCTAAGAAGAGAGATCTTCCTCTCAGACTAATGTGGACAGCTGCTTGAGCAAGAAGGAAAGCTTCTCAAAATCTTCTTAAAATGAGATCTGTTTCAAATGGTGTTACTTTCCAGAAAGTACACGGAGACTGTGTGAGGCTGACCAAACAAATGACCAGGCAGAGTTGAGAACTGAGGGTACAGCTTGGCAAGGATCAATGCTCAGGCCTCTGCTCACCCCCCAGGAGGCTGGATTGGCAGCATGGGGTCTCAGTACAAATGGGATCCCCACAACACTCCCATGACAGATGAATGGAGTGTTGGGGAAGGCAGTGCTTTTTCTGCTGGGTGCTGTGGGCCCAGCCCAAGGTGGAAAAGTCAGTGGCTGCCAGATAATCAGGTATGTGGCCAAAGTGGAGGACTTTTGTTAGCTTGTGGGCTCTCTCTCATTAAAACATTGAACACTGAATCAATCAAGGCTTGTCCCATTCAAGGGACAATGAGTATTTTACCCTGTGTGCACATACAAGCTGGACCTTTTTCTGTCCATCCCATAGACAGGTGGGAACATTTGTCCCAACCCTACTCTCCGGGACACAGGGAATTCTAGGGGTTGGCCTTAACCCATGACAGTCTTCCGAAGTCACAGCTTGTAAGGCAAAGCAGGTGGTACACCTTGGTGAAGCATAGGCAGGAGCCAGAGGTATCCCCACGCTCTCATACACAACACCCTTCCTGAGTGTACCCTTTACATTTTGCACCTGCCAGCACTTGCAAAGGCTAACCAATGACTGGACTGGCAAAACCCAAGAGTTTGTTTTCATGTTTTTCATGAGTCTGACAATAAGCAAGGTTTGTGCCCCAACTGGCCCTGTAGGCAGCTGGCTCAGAGAGCAGTGTAAAGAGGGTGGGACCTTGAACCTCATTTGTTCCAAAGTCCCTGCTCCTGGGAAAAATGTCTAGCTGGAGCAGAGCCAGGGTTGAGTAACAAATTAGTTCTCTCCAGCAAGTTCTGTCTCCACTGACAACCATTTCATAGGAAAGGTCAGCCTGGTCATTGAGACGGGAGACAGGTGTTGAATCTCTGAAAAGGAGTTAGCTTGCAACCTGTGTGTGCAATGAGACTTTTGCAATGGTTGTATTTCCTTCTTGTGGGCTGGCATTGGAAGCCACTCAACAGGGTACATACAGAGAGATGTGTTTGCTCAGCCAGGCGTGAAATACACACATAAATGTATAAACTCTCTGCTCTGCCAGCACCAGGGCCATCCATTAACATGCACAGCACCAGAGTTCTCATTAAGCAGGTCAGGAGACCAGGGCTTCTCCTGGACTTCTGGTTGATACATCTCCCCTTCCTCAGGCCTTTCTTTCTGCCCCTGGAAACCAGCCTGGGGATGGTAGAGGACATTCAACTCAGGGGTTCTTTGTCAAGCCCTGAATCCATCTTGATTTCTATCAGATTAAAATGCATTTTTCCCAATTACTTTCTTTTAATGATAATTAAATAAAACACTTGCATGTGTATAGATTGGAGCCAAAGCAATCCTTAATTGGCGTGAAGGCAGCGTGTGTTAAGTAATCTTAATAATAATAATAGCTAAAATTTATTGAGCACTTACTAGGTGTCAGACGTGCTAAGTACCTCATATACATTCTTTTCATTTAATCTTTATTATAATACTTGCTATTTGGGATCCCGTGGCTTATTCCTCGTGGTTCACCCTATTATTATAAATACTCTCAACAGAAATACTGAGGGAGGGGGGGATATCCTGCAGGCTCTGGTAAAGGAAAGCAGACTGAGCTGGATGACAGGGGAAAGGGAGAGGGAATTCACTGTAGCCAAAGCCAGGGAGGTTGCAGGTGCTCATGTGCTTTCAGTGTGTAGGAAAGGTGGCCCGCATGTCCTGCCACCATGCCTGCCAGGGAGTTTGGCAGCTGGATTCAGCAAGATGGGCTGAGAGGGTCTGACCCAGACTCCAGAGGGGTACTGTCTTTCTTTCCATCGTCTCTGAGATCTCCTAAATGATATGCAGCCAGGAAGGCTGGGTACCTGAATTTCTGGCACAATGGGGCCTTTCTCTGCACAGGAGCTGGCAAAGGACGTCAACGGGGATGGAGACACAACGGGGTTGGGGCGGGCGAAGTTGCTCAGGTCACAGCTGGGAATCTCATTCTCTTCATGCCGCATGATGATGGTTTCCATGACAAAGAACCGATCCCACGGCAGCCAAAGGGTGTGCTCCTGTGTGATGAAAGGCGCCCGCTCAAACCGCAGGATGATGGAGACACCACCGTTTGTGACCAAGTCAAAGCTGTGTGGAGGGAAGGAGGGTGGAGGAGAGGAGGGGGGAGCAGGAAAACCAGGAGGATGGGGAGGAGAAAGAGACAGGAGAAAAAATTACACAAAGGGGCTGGGGATGTGGCTCAAGTGGTAGCGCGCTCTCCTGGCATGCGTGCGGCCTGGGTTCGATCCTCAGCACCACATACAAACAACGATGTTGTGTCCGCCAAAAACTAAAAAATAAATATTAAAAATTCTCTCTCTCTCTCTCTCCTCTCTCACTCTCTCTTTAAAAAAAAAATTACACAAAGGCTCTGAGCACTCAGTGAGGAGACTTAACACCTAAAGACTTGTCTGCAGCCACAGTGGTGACAGTGACTCCAGAGGCCTTTGTGGTTGCTGTGTTGTCAAGTGACTCACCATAGAAAATTTATCGGAGGCAGATTAGCTACTATTAAAAGAGCCAGTCTTCAGGACACAGGATATTAACAAATCTGCTGCTGTGGTG